TGCAGGGAGAGAGATGACCAACTGCAGCGCTGCTACCTCCGATCTCATTACCTAGACCACTGCCTCAGCATGTGATAACTTAATGACCACACTCTATCCAAGACACATGGAAACACTGCTTTTAACCACAGAAGACTTATTGAAACCAGCATGGCACAGGACGGTACAATAGAGACAACTCCCACAGCAATTATCCTCTGCCTCTCTGTCCTGGGCCGGCTTGTTTTTGTCCTTCTCCCTCTAATGTCGCTCCACGTCTGCCCTTATTTCACTGCTCTTCATCACTGCCCAACGCTGGCACTCGTCCTGGGTCTTCTAACTTTGTTTCTCTGTTGTGGTCATGCACTCTGCCGTGGCACGGGGACAATAACAAAAGCTCAGCTCCTTGTATTGGCTGCCAGTTTGAATTCTGGTCAAAGTCTTAATTAATCAAGACAAGAAAAAAATCATACCATGATGTCAGTGGTCGACCACCAGTTATGTGACTCAGTCTTTTTTTTTTTTTACCAATGGGAACATTTAAGCAAGTTCTAAATTTTCTCCTGAGTAAACGTGATCGAGGGCCTCACATATTCACTCATGATGGTTTTGCAATTGCAGCTTGAGGACGTCCGTCTCCCTTTGGACAAAGTGTTTGTGTCTGATGTAAAACAACCAGCTTCATCACACAACAGCTGCACTGTTACTGAGTGTGCTACTTTTAAAAAGTCAGTCTTACTGATAATGTATTTCTTCCAATCCAGCCCTGTTACTACACACATCTAGCCATGAAATTACCCTGTCACTCAACATGATCGGCCCACTCCCTCCACGCACCACTGACTACACATCCTACCACGGCGCCGCTGATAATGACTGACGTCCTGAAAGTGTCTGAGGAATAAAGGGAGCGCCTCGGTTAAAGAAAAGCTGTACAGGTGACTGCAGATCCTCTTAATGCACGATTACCAAAAAAAAGAAAACCTACGTGATGCTGAAGATCTGATATTTCAACTGGAAACACATGAGTCCAGTTACTAGTAACTGATAAAAAATACTGCTGACATTGCCAGTAGACTGTAGCGACTAGGTCACATCATACTGTGTCTGCAGAGTTCCATGTAATGTCATAGCATGTTGACTCTTTCATGACTCAAGAGAAATGTGGATGCTCCTGATGAGTGCGCTGGAACAGCACCTTATTGTCCATGTGAGGAAATAGAATATTTAATTTGGTTAAAATTCACACACTTTTTTAAACACTTGAGGATCAAATCCTCAAGTGTTTCCTCATGCAATTTAACCAGGAAAACAACTGGTCAAGGCTGTCATATTGCCACTTAAAGTGGGCCGTGGGCAACAGGAAAGAAAATATTCCATATTGAAAGTTGTCACAGCAGCACAGTAATTTTTTTTTTTCTATCTTGCCACCACTAGTAAAGATGAAAAGGCAACATAATATCCTTTGATCCATTCTTAAGTCTTCTCTGTCTTTACTTATGATGCATTTACAAAGCAGCAACATGAAGACTGTTTAACAGGCTGCTGGGAATGAAAGCCAACTTATCCAAAGTCTCAGAGATGAGCCTGACCTCTGTCTACTCTGCAACCTTTCCTCTGACTGGACTTCCCAATGTGGCTGCATTTGCTCAGTAAAAGTGAGTGAAATAAATCATTTATTTACTCATCCGTCTGGACATTCGCTCAGTGCCAAGCTGACCACAACCTACTACATGCATGGTGTCATTTGACACTGCTCAGCTCGATCTTTGGCTGACTGCTGAGTAATATTCTCCACATGATGGAACCCTTCATTAAGTCAGTCTAACGTGCGAATGTGCACTCACATTAAGTGTGATGACGTTGACTATGTAAACTTGCCACCATAGGAATAGTGGTTACATAACCTTTGGAACAAGCACCAAATTAACTGTCTGCATGCACAGATCATAGGTGCACACTGGTACTTTCAAAAATAGAGACAGAAACATTGTGTGCAACAGACTTGCACCACATTCAGGCCCTGTTTTGCTCTGACTGTTAATAAACAGCTTGTTGAGGATCAGCAATTGTATTGATAATATGTTCACCAAAACGGTATACTACTGTTAATGTACTACACTTTTTAACTATTGCTCCCATTGTATTATTATTACACTATCGTTTATCTCTTACATCTGGCAAAGTGCTGCTCATGAACATTAACCTTTCAGCAAACCCTAATGCATTTACATGACTGTTGATAATTGTACATTGTCTATTTTCAATCAAAGAACAAAAAACTCTACACTGCCAAAATATAAACTAACTTAAACATATATCTGCTCCTATGATTCATGTTTAACCTGGCCTGTCTGAGATTATCACCAGCTTTATCATTCATTTACAATTATGGTTTCTGTTAATGCATGTGTTTTGCAAAGTGATGAAAACCAAGAATTGTTTTTATTCTAAATGGTATCTTTACTTTTGTTTATATCTATATTCTTTTGTCAGAAAGAAGAGGCGATCACTAACGACATGGTGGACTCAATCAGCGTTAAAAGTCTTTTAACAGAGTACATATTATGGGCTGGTGTGACTGTGAAGACCATAGCTTATTGTATGAATCATACAAAAAGCCACTCACTGCCCTTTGAACATTTATACTCGTTGTTTCTACAACTTATATCATTCAATTCTTTTCACCCACATGCATCTTTCCTTGTTTTCATTAAAATAAGCTTTCATATTTTATTCAACTTGTGAACCTCTACTTCTTGTGCAATTCATACTCGAGGTGCATAGATAATCTACTGTTCTCATTACATACATAAAAATGTTCCAAGTGGCCTAGATGCATTAATATTAATTTAATGCATGTGCACTCTAATTACCTATGGCTGACTGCATAATGCTTAATCAAGTATTTGCTGTGGGAGTACTGTATATATAAAGTGTGAAAATTGCATTTTCACAAGAATGAAAGCAAAGCAGCCTCAAGGGTTACAAGGTCACAAATGTAACTTTTTTTTTTCCTGCATTGTTTGTTAGACCTAATCTCCCTTTTCCATAAAGTAAAAAAAAAAAACGGGTCTGTCTGCTACAATATAACCAAACATTTAAGCTTTCATAATCTCCCATTTTAAATGCATTTCTGCTCTGTACATCTGTGTGCAACACATTTTAGGAGAGGAGCAGTGAGAGTGCACGTGTCTGTTTAGTGAGAAGAGAAGGAATGTGCACTAAGTGATAATATACACTGCTGCCAAGACAATGACATTAACACCCCGAGCTTACAAAGACAGTGTCAGTGTCTCTCTCTCTCTCTCTCTCTCACTCACACACACACACACACACACACACAGTATTTACATAGAAAAGTACGAGGCTGCGGTTATGGAGATGGGGAGGGGGAGTAGGAGGAGGACATTATCTTGATGAAACAGTGGTTCATACAGAAGCCCGAGCAAACCTGAACACAGCTCTGCTTTAATGGAGATTACACAGTCTGGGTCCAGCCTGAGCTCATCTTCTTTAAACACTGCATACAACTACATCACTCAGAGTGTGTGTGAGTGTGTGTGTGTGTGTGTGTGTTGGGGGATGGCATGCCTGATCTGATTGTGCCACCTTCTCCTCGCACATCAACCATCATTACCGCACACCTCCTGACCCCGCACCTGGCGTCCAATCAAATCTCCCGATCTGGCCGACCAATGAGAGCACACAGCAGTGTACCACGGGAGTGTGATGCTCTGACTCTACCTGGTCCTGACTTTGCAGGATCTACAAATCACTTGGCTGATTCAGGGTTTTAGTAGCGAATATGTTACTCTTACTATCTGCAGGATATCTAATGGTCCTTAGCGACTTTGACAAATATGAAAAGGTCATTCCTCCTCCGCTCACTACTACTATATTAAGTCAGTGGAAGACTGGGTCTGACAGCTTGGTTTTCCGACTTTGCTTTTTAAAATTGGCCTTGAATTTACTCCCAGGTAGCGTTTCAAAGTTCCCCCTCTTTTAAATTTAGCATTCCTAAAACCTGCAGATGCCTTGAGTCAAGAGCTGAATAATTCGTAGACCTTGATCTTCCAATTTCTCTCTGCTGCACAACACAGCTCCTCTTCCTCATTTGTCTTCCTGTTTTCAGCCTGTGTCTTCTTTCTGTTGCATTGTATAGGTTGCATTCAGATCATACATACCTCCTTGTCTACATATTTTCTTGCCCGGTTTCCTGGCACATTCCTTGGATATTCTTTTGACTGTAAAATGAATAGAAGACTAAAGAATAACATGGAGCCCCTGGACACGCAACATATACACACGCCCACGCACACACAGGCATACACACAAACACGCACACAAGCTGCATGCACACACACTCACACACAAAGCTGATTGAGAGAAAAAGGAGGGAAAGGGAGGAATAAAGACAGAGGGAAAGAATGAATCACACCAGCTCAATCAGCGCAGCATTCAGCCTATCAGTCAGCCAGCCAGTCATTCAGCCAGTCAGCCAAATCAATCAGTGATGATCATGACAACGAGTGTCTTGTTTAATGAACTGCAGCCATTGTGGCGGAGCACAATAGGCTATGATGAGCTATGGGAGGCTAAGAGGGAGGTGCGGGTATGGTGATGTGGAGCAAGAGGAGAAGGAGAGACATGGAGGTGGAGGAGGATAGAAGGTTAGGGAGGATGGAGGTAAGGGGAAGGATGGGATCGGACTGTACGGATGGATGCCCCACACGCACGCTCTCTCACACACATGTGCAAACCATTCTGTCAATCACACAACCACTCAGACACACTCATAGACTATAAGCAGTGTCATGCACATTAAACATGCACAAGGTCATGCTTCCCTTCAACTGACAGACAGACGGACAGGGACTGAGACAGAAATGCACGCTCACATACTTAACACATCCCGACAACTCTTCTGTCAACCAGAAGGTTGTGGGTTCAATTCCTTCCACCCTTGCGCCCCACTGTTCCCACAACCATCCTACCCTTGGCCCCAGAGGCTAACTCACCATCCTCAGTGGGGACGTAGATGTTAAGATAGAGGCAGTCCTCGCTCTGGTCCTGGACGTACGTGGACACGATGTCAATGCTGTTGGTAAACCACACAGGCAGCATCACATCTGGCAGACGGCCCTCCACGATGCTTTGAGGGCACACTGGGGCAAAGTGTGTGGCGTTTCGCACCTCAGGCCACGGTGCCGGCGGCTCGGGTGGCTGAAAGCGGTGCTCGCCAGTGGGTGGTGCAGCATATGGGACGCCCAGGAACTGCACGACTGGACCCAGGATCTCATTGTTGAGCTCTTTCTTGACACCACGCAGCTTGCCGTAGGCAGTGGTGACCACAGGGTCATTTTCATCGAGTTTCTCAGCCGACACGGCAGCTGGGGATGCCTGCAGCAGCAGCAGTCCCAGCCATATTAGAGAGGACACCCACCGATTGGCCCTCAAGGAAACTTCAAGTCCTACGTATCCCATCATCCTTGTCCTGTCCTTCCCAGACTGAAATAGTCGACACCCAGTCCTCGAATGGTGCCTCCACCGGGTCATAGCTGCTACTCCTTGAACTCAACTTCCTTGCTGTGTCCTCTTTTGTACTTTCCGATTAAAAATGCTTTGTTTTCTTTTATCTCTCTTACGCCATTTGATACAAACACACAATTAAACTACAATTCTCATATTCACACACAGGCGTAAGCAAGCGGGTAGCTCCGGAGCAGATGGGTGGTCGTGGTTGCTAATGATCCTTTTTAAAATCCAGGCAGTGTTTAACATCCGGTGAAAATGTAGCAGCCATCAGTTTCCTCCAGCTTGGTTGATGGGAAATCTGGGAACTATTCCTCGCAATAAGAAAAATATACTCCTCAAAAAGGTCCTGCCAACAACCTCTGCAATGAGGAAGTAAACTTGAATATCATATTTATGTGCCACTATCTCAGCAGGTAGTCGAGACAGTTAGTGATGAGGGTTTCCATCCCCCTGAAGGTGAGGACCCTGCCACATGGAGCAGCAGAAGCAGGGGTTGCAGCGCAGCAGATGTACAGTAGAGTCTGGACTTGGATTAGCTCCGGCCAGTTCAAAGTCTGTCCCCTGTAACACAGAAAGAAAGTGACAATCAGCAGTCATACAAATACAGGTCACATTTATATTTTCACTTTTTAGGTATTCCTCCTGCAAAAAGTCAAGATCAACCATTTGCAGAATGGATGTGTGATTCATTTGCAATTACAGAAGAGCACAACATCTCATTATAACAAAACAGCAGTAGGGGGAGGTGTCAATCAGCATACAAGGTAACATGGTCATGAGTGTGTCCTACAGTTTATACCCTACCCTCCATATGGAGTGACCTTTTTGGGAGAGAACCACCGAGCTACAGATGCTTCCTGCCAGCAGCACAGCGTAACGTCAAGGTATGGAGGTCAAGGTTGAGGACAGACATGTAGCGGGTCTGTCTTTCATGTATAACCCATTTCCTATTGAAGACGCTATAGTTGCCAAGCAGAAATATTATAAAAAGTTAAAGGTTTGAAGATTTTAAAACACACAGAAGCTTCACTGACTGGCAGCAATGTATGGAGATATAAAGATGAAGCAGAGATTAGAATAATAACAGTTACTGCATTAACCAAACTTAAAAATATCTGAAATTGTAACACTTGCATGATATATTATTTGTTTTGAATGCCTGGTAATTTTTTTCTCCCTTACATAACTAAGGTTAGACACGAATAGTTGTTTTTGATGTGCACCGTTTTTGTGGCTTTCTTCTTAAATGCTCACCAAAATGTTTTATGCTTCTAAAAGAAGTGTGTCCACACTGTCAGGATTAGCTTTCCCCTCAAAATAATGTGTACCCACACAAATAGCAGCCATTTATCACATTAATTACCCGATCATACACAGAAGCACATGCCCGCTCCTGTACCTCGACAACTGCTAGGTTACTTGCTCTGGTGGGATCTATGAGTATTAAATATATTTATTGTCGTTGCTGCTGGGAGACAACCAGAAAAGAAAAATTACAAAAGATCCACAAGACAGCCTAAAAAATTAAATCCCGCCTCGATAAAATATTTGTCCTGATTCAGGGATCTAAACTAAGAACAACAAAAAATAAAAAAAGTCTATACAGGGAACAAAACATACAATTGAATCATATCGTAAACTATAAGATTCAAGGCTAGTGAAAATAAACATCTGCTGACACAGAGAAGCAAAAGTACTGAACTCAATCCAAATTCATTTCTCACCTCAAAGCACCAGACAGGAGATATTTTAAGTAGAAAATCTGTGTGTGTGTGTGTGTGAGCTGTTTATGCAAGTGTGTGCATGGGTGTGCGATGTAGAACACAAGGGCTTGTCGTGCCCAGTATGTGTTTTTCTATGTTTTTTCCACACTGCTTAGGAGTCAGTGTTCCACATGGATGAGCTCACCTTCAGATTTCATACACTGAGGAAATCCTATTCACTGCAGCTACACACACGACTTGCCGAGAGACATGGACACTTGGTTTCCTGCAATTTGCCAGCGAGAGGCTGACCCAGGAGCCTCAGACAAACAACCAGGTAATGTTTAGAATAACAATGCCGGTAGATAATGATAGTGAAATGATTATTTCAAAGATAAAAAAGACTCCTGCCAAACATCGTAGCCAGCCTCGTCAAAAGAAATGGGAGTCAAACTTTGGAAAAAACATTTTTTCAAATGTAAGCAGAGCCTGCAGCGTGGCACAGAGTTACCTTACCATGCTCACAGCAGTCGCAAATAGCTCAATGCTCTGCATCTGTGGTAGCTCTATTGAGCTTGTGGGTTTGTGCATGTTAGCTGCACCCGCCTGCTGTTTGTCCTTGGGTCAGACTTGGATCAGACTCTGGCCGGCTTGACAAACTTACTTTACTTTTCTAACATCAACAGGCAACCTGGTGCATTGTAATAATCTTTCATCACTTTGAATAAGCAGCCTTTAAGATTATAATAATTGAAGTTAGTATACTGTGCGATAACAGGTGTATTTTATTTCCTGCCTTGTGTGGAAGGTCTTTTCGTGTGTCTGCATTTTGCTGCATTATTTGTGAGTGAAGACCTAATTTCACCAGTGGAGGTGGTGTGTTCTATTTCCGTTAGAAGTCAGGGGAGTGGTTTAATGAGGAACATGACTGTATACAATAAGATAGGCAATTTTTAGAACCATTCCATTGGAGATAGAAGGAGCTCCAGATTTAGCTTGATAGATTTCACTGCATACAAATATTACAACACACCAACAGAACTGTGTTTCCGACATAGAGAACATTATTTTTGAAGTATTAACACAGCGACTGCACTCAGCAGGAACTCACAGGTGTGTCTGCATGAAAAACATCTGCACTACGACCATATTGTATCAACTCGTGTAGATGACTGACAATTAAATAATTATCTGTGTTGCATTTGCTTTCAATGACACCAATTGTCTGATGAAAACTTTTTCAACATTTGATAATGGTTTCTCCATTTACTTGGCGTTTGGTTGAACTGAAAAATGATTAGAGGCCTGCTTTTCTTTTCCCTATAATTTAACTGACCTGGCTGGTTGAGAAATGTAATCGCACACACACACACACACACACACATTTTATTTCGGGAGAAGCAGCACCCATTAACTGAACTACAGCTAATAAATGTCTGATTTAGTTTTTCCCAAAGAAGCAGATCTCAGAAGTTGTGCTGTCGATATTTAGACATCTAGAACACTGTGAAGCCACCAGAAACTTAATAGTGTTTGTTGTAATCGTGTATTGATTGTGAATTAAGGTTTGTTTATTATTATTAGAAACTTTTATCTCCATTTTTACTCAGATAGTGAACTCAACTTGATAATGGACTCAAGTTGGTCGAACTTGGTGAAAGAGGGGGACATGCAACTTGGTTCCTCTTTGCCGGGGGTGAAAGGGATCTTTTTGTTGTTTTATGGCATGAGCTTTAGATTTTCAGCTTGAAAACTTAAAAAAACAGACTCAACTAGATTCCAGAGCTACACACATACACAACGTCTTACACTCAGAGACTCTCAGGAGGGGGAGTCCAGGAACACACACAACAAAACTGTGTTTACACCTGTCCAATATCACAAGAATCAAGTGATTCAACTATGATCAATAATTGTTTTTTTAACTTGAAGTGTAGGCTTCCAATCTTCTGTGTAATTAAAAGCAAAGGCATTAGAAAGACTGCACTGAAAATACAGTCCCTTGAAGTGAAATGAAAAGATGAGTCCCAGTCTCAAGCAACTTAACAGCAGAGGAATTTCCCAACTTGTCAATGACTGAAGAACAAACAAAGAAGAGTGAAATGCACCAGAGCACCAGAACATCTCTCTACAGAGTTGTGTAAGACTGGTATCATCCCTGCACAGGAGGATCCCATTTGTCATCAGAAATAAAGGCAGACGTAGCACATATTAAAAGAAAATATATAAGAATGCCATCTTACTCATGACAGAGCTATTAACTATTGTTGCTGTTGGTTCTTTATAGTGAACCTCTCAATATAGTTTAAAGGTACAGTGTGTAGAATTTTGTGATATCTAGAGAGGACCCCATCAATGTAAACATAAAGTATTTAAATATTAAGGGTCTTTTCTGGGGTAAAGAAAACTACAATTCATATAATTTAGATGAAACAAACTAGTGAAAAGATCATGAGGATTATTCTACATTCAATTTCTGCTAATAGATGACTTTCACTTAAATCTTACACACTGGACCTTTAAATAGTCAAATTAATTGACTTAATTTTTGTTATACTTTGGCTTCAAAGAAATAATTTTATTGAATGGATGGAATTGAATCACTGAACTCACTTTTGTTTTAATGCAAATGTACTCTGACATGAAATGTAAAACACTGATAAATTATATACTTCTTGATATGAACTAATGAACGCACAGACATGATTTTATTATCTTAAAGCAACTAATTACAACTTGTTTTTAACTTATTTTGCATGAATGTATTACTTGTCCATGATAAAATAAAATAAAATGCCTCTTCAGAACCATGTGACTCTTCAGTAGTTTATTCAGACAACTTAAACAACCCATCGTCATCAGGTTTGGATTCAAACTGGATCTTGTCCACTTTAAATTGTTCAGAAGTAAAGACCATGGCACAAATAAATGAATCGCTAATGTAAAATAATTAAAACCAAGTGTGTGTGTTTTATATTTTCCCTTGGCTCATATAAAAAACCTCAATGGTCTCATCTTGCAGAAACATACTGGGCATTTACTGGGGATTTTCTGTGGCCTTTTGTGATCAAAGTCTTGTCTGTTCATTTTCAGCAGCCTGTTGTGTTTAATCATGTGGTAATTTTCCATCAATATACAAAAACGCACGTGTATTCCACTGGTTTCCTCATTTGACATGATCCAAAGGGACCATTTAGCGTGCTTCACTTTGCTAAAAGTAAAAGAGGTTTAGTCGGCAATTCTTCCATGTCCCTGAACAAATAACAAAAACTGCTGACTTTTAAAGGCGGCCGACGAAGCAATTTATCCTCTGGCATCAACATGGCAGCTACCATGAAATCACACAATGAATATGCACATGTACATGTAGCAACAGAAGGAAACTATTTAAATGTGACCTGATTCTGTGAACACATTTTGTCTGATTTTGTTCACGTGACCAATAAGGATGGCATTGAATAAGCTGTCAGTCAAAATAGATAAATAGAAGAAGACTATAGATTTTCCAATATTCAGCAAAGGGGGGGGGGGGTGTACATAGTCAGATTTTGGGGATCATTGAGTACATGTTTTAAGGATAGGTTAAGGTTATGTTGAGGTTAGGGTTGAGGGGAGGGTAAGGCAACTATTGATTATAATTGAGGTTAGAGTAAATCTGGAAATATACTCACGCATGCACACACAGAAATATTACTCTTTCTTTCACTTTCAAATTTGCAGCATTAGTACACAGTATTTATGAGGAACATGGTTGATGTGGTTTATTATCTTATTTTGTTATAGTTATTGTTATCAATTTTTAACTTAACATACGACATTGTTAAATACGACAGTTACAGGTTCCCTGATACAGCAGGA